ATCCATATCGACAAATCAATTTTAGCTAGACTAATATTATTAACTCAATATAATTAACAACTCATGCGTATATCCCAAAAACTTAATAAAATAAACAAACACAAACAAAACTTGTATTGATTGAACAACAAATCAATTAGTGTTTTAAGCAACCTATGTTTTAGGGTCTTAGGCTTTGTTCTATTCAGCTTAATTTCACTTAAGTTCAGTTAAGTTCCTAATTTCCTTCTCTCACAGACAATTCATTTCAGATCAGTTTAGTTCAGTTCAGTTCCAATCAGTTCAGTTTAGTTGTTTTCAGTAAATCGGAATACACCCTTAATCGCGGTATGATTTGTTTGGGTGGATCAATAATTTGGCACAAAAGAAGACCTAATTTAACAATCCTTATTGAACTATAAATTACGCATTAGTTTTAAAACACTGGTAATGAAATGTACTTCATAAATGTTGTACGAAGTAGTTATTAAGGAAATAAGTAATGCAAAAAAGATAAAATAACAAATTATAATATGATTGATCATTTAATCAAGAAACAATGATTGTAATATAACACATCAATTAACGTATCGCTACATAAAATCAATCTTACATAAATCATACCAACTAATCAAGTGTACTCCTAAACAAGATCAACTATAATTAATTAGTACCAAGGATAATCTTCTACTCTATTCCCAAACAATGTGAAAGTGCGTTTAGGACCAAGAATGACAAAATTAATACGATTCTCCGATCGAAACGACGCGACTCGAATGTTATCTCCTAGCTTTAACCCCTTATCCAATCTCAATTTGTTCCAATTGTGCTTCAAAACATATCTATATGAACCCTTGTCGTAGTTCCATCGACTTAGATGCATATTGTACACGGACGACCCAATTATCACCTTCACGTCTATGTGAGCGTTCTTTTTAACACCAACTTTCTGTTCAAGAAATACATCTTCACCACGGCTTAGAAACACCGGGACAACTTGCTTCTTAGGGAGTGACAATCGCGCTTGTTTACCATCCATGTCGGATTTTGTAAGCTTCTTGTCCAAGAGTATTTTGGCATCGCTAATGTCTTTAAAATCCATATTATTGCTCTTGATGTGTTGACGCAATAACTCTAACAATGCACCATTATTGTTCTTACGACTTTTTTTTTTTTTTTTTTAAATCAAGTAACAAGTAAATAATCAATCCATATTAACCTACAAAACCAAAAGCAGTTTTAATTTACGACATGTTGGCTAGTAATATACAAGTATAATCAGGCCCGTCTTTGGACATGTTTTTCTCCACAAACAGAGTAGGGCCCCCAAATATCAGGGGCCCATAATTTTTTCTAAAAAAATCATAACCTACCACCATTTCCAAACTAAAACCTAAAAATTCATCCTAAATCTTTGACTTTGCCTTTTAATTTTCAAAACAAAATTAAATTGATTATGAAGATATAATTGAGGATTTTGCTGTCAAAAAATATTAGAAGGATGACACTTTTTAAATAAAAAGTTTTTATTTGTTGTTTTATTGAATTACTATTAAACTTATTAGTAATATGAATATTTTAGCCCTATAGTAATTTGTAGTACTGTACTTAAAAAAAAAAAAAAAAAAAGTCATTTTATAATAATAATATTTTTAACCTTTTAAAATAGTCCTCTAAAAATTAAAGGGCCCAATTTTATTAGTTAGAACAGGGCCACCAATTGTCGGAGACGGCTTGAGTATAATTTTATTTTATTTTTTCAAAAATTGGAAGCAATAGTATTAATCTTTTTCATTTCTTATCATATCTTGCAAATGAATTTGTTTGGTCAAAGGATTTTTGTTTGCAAATTGTTTTCTCCGTCCCAAAATAATTGATACCGTTGGTTGTTTTTTATCATTAAGTTTGACCATCAAAATATATTATATGTAATGCGTAGTAATTTTTTATAAAAACTTGATGTTCCAATCCAATAATATACATTTAGGTTAAATCCAACCTATTTGTTTATAACATTTTACTTTATATAATATATTTAAAAAAAAAGTAAAAAAGATAAGTCAAGTGTATCAATTATTCAAAGGAGGAGGGAGTATTCTAACATCCTTATTGATCATTTCATTTGTTCTAGTGCTTGTGTTTTTTTCCTTTAGTCACTTTTCAATGCAAAATTGTATTGGATAATTAAGATATCTCAACATATACCTATCATAATATAAAAATTATTTAAGAAGTTTTCAAAACTAAAAATCGAAAAGAATAATCTAACAAAAACTCACTTGTTTGTGTTTAAATGAAGAAAAATCAATTAATTATAGATCCCATTCGCATTGGAATCTTGAAGAATCCAAATAAGAATAATGGGAAAATAAAAATGGAGGGCATATCAAAACATTTTAGAATCAGAAAGTTTTAGTGCAAAGTTTAATAATAACATTATATAACCATTATAACAATAAACTAATGAATAGCAAAATATTACATACACCAATTAACGTTTCTCAACATATAAACATACATTTCACCAACTAATTAAACAAGATCAACATTAAGTCTTTAACATATACTCTACTTCTTTTTACTTCCAAGCACTCTTAGCTTTCATACATCACACCAACTAGTTAATTTAGTACCAAGGATAATCTTCTACTCTATTCCCAAACAATGTGAGGGTACGTTTAGGACCAAGAATGACAAAATTAATACGATTCTCCGATCGAAACGAAGCGACTCGAATGGTATCCCCTAGCTTCAACCCCTTGTCCGCTCTCAATTTGTTCCACTGGTGTGTCAATGCGTATCTATATGACTAAGATGCATATTGTATACAGACGACCCCATGATGACCTTGACGTCAATGTGAGCGTTCTTGTTAACACCAGCTTTCTTTTCAAGAAAAGCCTCCTCATCACGGCTTAGGAATACCACCGGGACTATTTGGTTCTTAGGGAGTGACAATCGCGATTGTGTACCATTCAAATCGGATGATGTCTTTGAAATCCATATTATTGTTCTTGATATGTTGGCGCAATAGTTGTAGCAATGCACTACTATTACCACCAATAATAGGTTGATTACGGTTAACTCTAGGACGTTTCGAGGCATAAATTCGCTTTTTAGGAAGGGGTTTGTGAGCCTTCAAAGTGTCGTCGGGTTGATTAAGAATAGGAGTTTGTTGATTAGTAGACGAAAAAGCCGAGGCGTAGGTTCGTTTTTTAGGAGGAAGAAGATTGTTGGGAATCATACTTGATTGAGGTAAAGGAAGTAGGAGGAAGGGATAATGAGGGTTTAAGGATGTGTTTGGAGTAGAGATAATGAACGAATGCTGAATAATGTGTACGTAGAGTATATATAGGGGGAATGAATAGCTTAGCATGCACTAATTAGAATAGGATTAGGAAAATTTGATGTTTAAGATAGAGTTAATGAACTTGATGTACAAGTACTTTCCAAAATTAACTTACCAAAAGAAATTACTACGAGTAATAGATTTTGCGCGTAAACATCCATAGTGCCAAATCCAAACGGCTGTCTTTTTATAATCAAGTAATAATCTATCACTATTCTCTACTAACCAATAATATTAACATTATGGAATTTAAATTTATATAATGCATTGTTAATAATCGGCTAGTAATAAATAATACAACCTCTGTTAATTTTTATGTGTAATTTTGGGGTATTATTTGTGAGATATGCATATAAAAATTAATAGATATAGTAATTCTTTTTTAGTCGGTTTAGTTAGCCCTGTTAACCAAAAAAAAAAAAAAACATTTAGTATATTCTAGGTTAAAACCCATGCAATTCACCATTTATATAAAACCTATTTTTAATTTGTACACTTTAACAATAAATCGCTATTTTTTATTTATTTATTTTTTAAAGAAGAAATAAATCGCTATTATGCATGAATATAAATACGAATTACGTATATTTTGTAATTTTAAAATTTTTTATTTTCATCAAAATTATTATATAGTATCTATTTATGTTGTACAATAAATTGATAGGTTTTAGTTGTAGTATTTAAATTTCAAAAATGTTAAATATGATAACTCTCCAAAAAAAAAAAAAAAAAAACCTTGACATCATCATTGCATTTAGGCGGAAATTTTTTATTGAGATTGCAACACGTGGGTAATGTTGATGTCAGCAACTTCTATTTTAATAATAGTTAATAGATATACTGAATGTCTATATATAATATTTTAACATTAATAAAAATAAAATTTCTTCGCCTTTGATATTCAAATTTACATAATTTTTTTTCCTAGTTAAAGCTTCATTTTTATTAATATTTCGGTTTGTTTTTCAAAAAAAAAATTAATATTTCGGTTTGTGTATTTCTCGTGTTGTTGCATCAAAGAAGTTTTCTACTGATAAACATCACTGTATGTTGTTACTTGTTACACCGTGTTTGATTATTACTCCCTTTTTTTTTTTTTTTTCAGGTTGAGAATATTAGATTATTTTGTGATTTAATTCAAATGTGTTGTATCTGACTGTGCAGGGGTGTTGTTCAGGAACTGCAGAAAGATTGCTCAGATTGCCTCTCATGCCATTTCCTTCTCTCCCTCCTCCAGATGTGGCCTTTCATTTAATGTGGCGCTACCAGCTCGAATAATTTTCAGAAATGGTAAGATAATGATATCCATAACATCCTTTTTAAGTAACAATGGGTATCATTAACCAAAACTACAAACTTTCTTGAATTACAGCAAATCAAGGACTCGTAGATAGCCCCAAAATCACAGGCCTCCTCATCCACTACGAACACAGCTGCCACTACAGCCTGCTCAGAGCACCATGTGGATCATCCAAAGCCACCATCACAAGTATCGAAAATCAAAGAATTGGCCCTGACCACTGCTTCTACTGCAACCTTTCTACTCTACATGCACTACCCTCGGCCACATGCTACCTCCAAGAACTTGTCAATTACTTCGAATATAGATAGAAGAAAAGTTTAAAGGGAAGTAAAACCTGTGCAAGATTTATAAATTTATAGCCAAATTCAATTCACCAAACAGATGTAAGATTTTTCTTGAAAGAAAATGTTTAAACTTCCAAGTATTCATGTAAGATTTCCCTAAAAGAAAAAGATGTACAAAATGAGAGTGAGAAATCAGTGACTAGCCAATATACGCAACAAAATCACACTTGATGTGTGCAGCTATTTTCAATTCACTTCAGTCTGAAAGTGTAATACTTTGAATAACTAACTAATTTACACAACAAAACCAAAATTAATGTACCAAAACTGCATTATCTATGAGTCTGCATCTACTTTAGTTGGTCCTTGTACAAGGCGGCCATTTTGAAGTAGGATGGCAGGGAAGGGAGCTTGACAATTGCTTATGTGTGATTTTAGACGAGGTATATTAGGGTGAGCGCTCTTACAGCGATGGCATCGCAGCTCTTTTGATAGAAGTCCCTCATCTTGTATAGAGGGTTTCCCAAATTTCTCAACATCCTCAATCACATCAACTACATCTCGGAAGAATTCAGTGTTAAAAGAGTTCCAATGCTTCTTGTTCTTCAAATGCTGCGAGTTGAAGTCCTGACTGATGACATGAAGATGTAGTTGCCTCAATGATGGAACCTGGTGTGCACAACAGAATATAGAACTTATTAGCCTGGTATTTGCGGGTCAGACACTTTGAGAGTGAGGGGCAAGGGATCCCCACCCTCAAAGTGTCTCTAGTGGGGATTGAACCCCCAACCTCAAGGTTGGAAGGTGACAATCTTACCACTAGACCAAGCTTCTTCTTTTTACCAATTTGATGTTCTCTTTTTCTCATGAGAGTACCTGTATAACAGTATGTAAAGCAACTACTCCAAAACAAGAATTGCAAAAAATGTTTCCTCCCCCCCCCCCCCCTTTTCGGGAAGCAATAATGCTTGTATTAACATGATAGCTATTAGCTAGGCAAATAGATCTTGGGACCATTGAAATAAAATGTACCCCACCTTTTACAACACAAAACATTATACAATAAAGCAAGAATGAGCCTTGTAACAGGTTTGACCAAGAGGCCCATTTTCTCCGCTGCTTTATAATATAGGGCTAGATTTAGTTCTTAATTACTTTCACACTTCAGTTAGCTCATGAGAGGCAAATTTTCATATAGATAGGTACAGAATACCACATCATGAATAATTTCAAGGACAACTCTAAGTATAGCAGCACTTTGTTTTCATTATCACAAACATCATGGATTCATGGAACAGGAATATAGAACATTAATGAGCAGAGGGGAAACATACTGAGTGAAATCCAAGGCGGAAAATTAGCGATTCATCCTCCTGTAAGAACCTCTCAGTCCATTTCATGCCCACTTGCTGCATTGTTCTCAATAACTGAAGGTGTTCTTGGCACACATCTCCAAGGCTATCCAGACCATCCAAACGAGCAAGCACAAGAATGTGTCTTTTTGCCTGTTAATAATTTGATGTCCATTAACAAATTGAAGACAATGTGTACGAAACAGGGGCCAAGAAGAAATTATGAAGAGAGATTCTTACCTTTGGGTAAGCATCATTTAGTACAACAACGTCAGTCGTCGTATCTATAACAGTGCTCTTATGCTTCTCAGGATTCATTGCTATATTGTACAATGCTTGAGCCCAAGATGACCAAGCTTTAGATGCACTCTTTGACTTGTTCTGTTTCTCCTCCTTCCACAAAACATTGATACCAGATCCAACTTCATGCTCCAGTCCCTTGTTTTTCTTGCTTCTTTCTTCATCGTGTAAAATCTCTCTCTTCATCTTTTGCTCAGAAGCATTCTCATTTCTCTGCCCACTGTGGTCCTGCAGTTCAGACCTCTTAAGAATGGATGCAAAACCTTCAAAGAGTGATGAGTAAGCCTCACGAAGGATTTTACAGCCCTCATCATAGTCATTTTTCAGACAATTTGGTCTTTGGGGATTCATATTTGGTCCAACAACATGAATGACATGTGTCACTCCTTCCCTAATAAACAAAGGTGAATCAGCGGGAACAGGAATGACTACAGCCTTTCCTGGAGCAAGAGAATTGGCTCTTTTTTTGGTTGCAACCTCTAGACTTGGGCCTGCAGCACTAAATATGGCAGCGTTCACACCCCCACCTCCGGGCTTGAGTCGCCTGTAACATAAATGTTAAGTGATTAGGCACATGAAAATATTTATGTAGTCAGTGACATATGCAAAGTAAACGAATGACAAGAAACTTGTTTAGAAAGGGCATGGAATTGGCTTAGACCCTGGATGAAGAGGACTAGAGAAGAGATGGTTAACTAACAAAACTTATAAGATGGTTACTCTCACAGTCCCTTTTCTTCTATGATGTAAGATAACTCACATGAAAGTTTAACATAAATAGGGTATGAGCTCAACAATATGATAAATGATTAAGAATGTCAATATATCTATTGAAAAAATAATTATAATAATAATAATAAAATAAAAACGTAGTAAAAAAAAAACACACGCAAGGAAATGATAAGAATATACAAAGTGACCAAATTCACCAACGTATACTCATTTAATAATTACTATCACAGCATCTAGCCAAGAAAATCAATTTAAAAACAGTACGCAACTCTTTCCTTGAATATGAATAACACATAGATACCAAGTGAACAACTTGATAAGTCCGAATCAACCAATTTGTGGGTGAGGCACAGTAAGTAACCCTCTGACTATATAAAAAGTCACCTTTGCACAAATACATATAAAGTCACCCCTCAAAAAACATAACAATTCAGACTGGTCTCATATATGTAACTGTACTACATAGGTACTCCATCTCACATGATGACATGAGCATTAAAAACCAAAACACAATCTCAGTCATCTTCAGAAGCAAGTCTAAGATAGCAATATGAATGTCAACCAAAATAGTCAAGCCATCAATTATTTTCCAAATTAATATTATTCACCTTTGTGTCTATCATGAACATCACAGCCATGGATTTCAAAAATATAAGAACAAGTAATCAGACAAGCAATTGGGTACAGATTATCGAGTACAGAGTCTTTTCAGCCATAGCAAGAAAAGATATCCACGTAGGAAAGCTGTAATTGCATCAAGCTAGCTACAAACTACCTTGGAAAATCCTATTCTAGGGAAATGAATAGGGGACAAAGAGAGAATGTTTTTGGACCACAAAGGATGGGATATCTTACAAAAATGCTGTAGTCACATGGAGCAAGACTCAAAATATCTAGAAAAAATCATGTTGAAATACAAGAGCAATCTTTTAAATCCAAATAAATGGAACTTCATTCCTTATTGGACAGTCAGCATACAAGGCTCCAGGCAACCCAGGTCAACATGAGGGCATCATATGTATCCAGCCTGACTCCAACCTTTGTACAGAGAGAATTCCCACGACTTGAACTCCTAACCTCCAAGAGATTATCATAAGTCAAAACCTAAAAGCTGTCGAAATAGTCATCCTAAGTAACCAATACATTGACAAGATACAAAATTTCAAGCCTAAGATGCTGAATTATGCTAGTATGCTACAAATAGAATTAAAAAAAAAAAAAAAAAAAAAAAAAAAAAAAAAAAAAAGCTAAGCCAAAACTTAAAACCTAGTAAAGGATGGTCATGACACAGGGGTGGAGGAGGCTAGACGTAATTATGTAAATAACACGCTATTAAAGATAATAGTGCTTTACATACATCTATGGCTTTCAACCCCTTGTACTTTATCAATCTTTCTCCATATAGCTAGAAATTGAGGGTCATAGGTTCATACACTCATACTTACTAATACAAGCAAGTCTGGGAAATGCTGCTTGATTGAGAGAAGTATGCCTATCCTAATATCATTGATAATACTACGCTAGAGAAGTAACGCTTGACTATATGTAGCAGCAGCAAGATGCAAGCATACACAAAGACAAAACTAGCTCAAACTTTACATTTTAGAGATACAAATCCAAAGTAAGCAGTATTGTTAAGGTATAAATAGGAGCACCATATATCTCACTACACACATAGCATAATTCAAACAGCCTTTAGATTCCATACCCTTGAACCCTGCAGATTGCAGAGCACTTGCATGAAAATAGTGTGCTTGATCATTAATTCATTATTACCCCAAATCCAGAACTTATTCTTAGAACTTATCAAGAATTATGTTTCCAGATATGGCATCTTCAACAATATTGACAGTTTAGTCAACATAAAGCTCACAAATGGTGAACAACTAAGATAAAGATGCTTACCAATTAGCAGCATTGGCAATGACATTGCAGCGTAAGCCTCCTTTAGAATACAGACAAGTAATATCTCCCACAAATGTGGAGAATTTTTCAGGATTGATATTTCTTTGTACAGCTTTAGACTTGACCAAAGACAAAATCTTTGATCTATGAGTCAAATCCACCAAAACAAGTCTAGCATTCTTCAACTTACTCATATATTCCTCTACTTTATCAAGAATAATATCGGATGCCTTATCGTGGTCAAACTGAAAGTCAGCGGTTGAAATTGAAGGGAAAGCCAGGGTGGCAGACATGTCCAGGGAAGAAGAATCCTCCATGGCATTCGTCAAATCCGCAGCATCAGAAACAGACTCCAGTGCCAAATTATGTTTGTGCTCCTCATTACTGGCCCCTTCAAAGGCATCAGGTTTGGATCCTTCACTACAGATTTGTGATTCTTTCATTGATTTACTAGAGAAAGGGCTCTGGGTCATACTTGAACCAGAACCCAAACTAGGAGGGTCAGCTTTTTTCAAAAACTTCATTATACCAACCTGGACCTTAGCATCTGGGTTCTTCTGACCAAAGCAGCCTGAGGGGAGAGTATCCTGTGCACTAAGTCTGCTATAGGTTGTAATAGCATCATCTACATCACTCTCACTGTGGCAGATGGTGATCCGAGAAAATCCTTCACTCAGCTGTGGCAATTCCTTCTTCTGAAGCATTCTATTCACAACTGCAGCAGCTCTTCCACCCTGCAAATTCCCTTCATGCCCTGAGCGTTTGACAGACCGTGAGATACAGAGCTTAGCAGGCAAATCAAGCACCACAGCATGCACATCTACTTCAGGACTGCCAAGCTTCACAAATTCAGCACGCTGTTCTTTATCCAGGTTGCATCTGTCAATGAATACACTTTTTTTGTCTTTCAGAGCAACAACTGCAGTGCTTATACACTGAGCTTTGGTTCCAGCTTTACCCTTATTAATATTGTCCTGCAAATGAGATCAACCAAACAAAAGAACTTCCTATTCAGAAGTCAGTCACAGCCAAAGCAATGTTCTTCCAACCTAAAAAAAAAATGTATGATAACTTCTTGGTAAGTTATGTTCTGATGGGCTACTAAGTTCATATAAATTCTGATACAAGCTAGTAAGTTCAATCCAAACCTTAGATAGTTCAAATAAGTTTCAAATTAGGTCTGATAGGTTCGTGATTTTAAAGGGGAAAGAGCATATCCTAAGATAGATATCAGTGATTTTAGTCAAATTACAGGATATACATCAGTGAAGGTCATTGCGAGTTGGTATAAACTACAAAGTATCAACTAACAACTCATTCTAAATTTTAATTCGATAATAAAAAGTCAGTATGAATACATGATATATTAACTATGTTGAATTACTGATGCTCTTGGAACATAAGGTGCCAGTATCCATCATTACAACCTACACTTTTAAATATATGGACGAAACTCAGCAAAAATCACACTAGTAGAAGGTTGTTTAGCAAACTCATAGTATATTAGTAGCATACTACTTAGTAACATATTGTCACGCAATTATGCAAGAAGGCTCAAAACTATATTGTAGAACTAACAAATCATGCTATTAAACACAAGGCAATGACTAACATTTCAATATCATCGACAATAATAGTTTCACGTCTGTCAATACACATCTTATAACATCAAGCTGTCACAGGCGTATGTGTGCATAGTGTAAAATTTCAAATGTTGCAATTAAAAATATATCTAAAACACCAAAAACCCTTAAAAATATTGAACCAACATAACATAAGAATAAGCAAAGAATTCTTGCAATTTGTAGTTTCAATTAGAGAACAAATAAACCTGGCAGATTCGGGCCCAGCGACGAGAAGAGGCGCCCATGACAAGGTCACAGAAGGTGGACTTGCCGCTGCCTGGTGCACCCACCATTATTACTACCAAAATCTTTCCATTTTCTGCTTCATTTGCTGAACCATTAAAACCCCATTTCAGTTTCATCCACAAAATTGAAAGATTGAATGTCAGTGCAAAAATCAACAAAATTATTAATTGGTAGGGTAATTGTATAAGCTAATTATACAAACAAATTTTCGTCAAAATAATTAGAACAAAGAAAACAAAAATTGGGGATTACCTTTACTCGGGTCAGGGTTGAAATCATCAACTTCCATTTCTTTCTCTATTGTTGTAAGTTGTAACTTTTTTTTTTTTTTTTAAATTAATTAATGGAGACATCGACAAATGTTCTTCAGTTTTCTTTTGCCTTTAATTTTTTTCTATTTTTTTTTTTTTTCTATTGAAAATTGTTCCATGTATCCCTGGTTTAGAAAAGTGCAACGAAAAGGGTACCCATGGACTCCCCACGTAGACAAAGATTTCTATTGGTTAAAAGAAGTTGGCCCACTTGATTCCACGTGAATAATTTTGAAATTTCCTTTGAAAATTTTGCTAAAAAGAGATTTTGAATTTTGAATTGTAAATTTGACTTTAATTGTACTTTTGGTGGTGAATGACGTTCGAATATTTACAATAATACATCACGGAGGGCCAACGACGGCGGCTTTAAGGTGAGGGGCGAGGACGGCGGTTTAAGGTGAGGGGTGAGGACGACAGCTTTAAGGGGAGGGGCAAGGACTAGGGGTGAGCAAAAATTTCGGGTACCCGGAATTGGAACCGGAACCGGTTAGGGACCGGCGGGTCCGAAACCGGAATTGAACCCGGTGGTTCCAATTCCGGGTAATAAATTAAGAACCCGGTTATAACCAATTCCGAGTAATAAATTGGTTATAACCGGTTCCGGTTTCAATTCCGGGTAATAAATTAAGAACCCGGTTATAACCAATTCCAATTCTAATTTTCAACTTTTTGGAACCGAAACCGGTTGGGTACCCGGTTACCTTATATATGCTAAACTAAATAGATTTTAAGTAATAAAAATATGTTGAATGTATCTAATTTATAACTTAAACAAGTATTATTAATACCTAACATAAATACAAATTGATTAATGCACATATAAATATAAGTATTAAACGCTAAAATTGAACCTAACTAAAATAAGAATTATAATTTGTATTATATTTTAACAATTACGTACATAAGTGGGTACCCGGAACCGGTACCCAGTGGTTCCAATACCAATTCCTAAATTTTAGGACCCGGTTGAACCAATTCCAATTCCGGATTTGAATTTTAGGACCCGATTCCTACCAATTCCAAGTCGGGGTCCTAAAATTTTGACCGGGTACCCAGTTTGCTCACCCTTAGCAAGGACGAGGCTTTAAGGTGAGAAACGATGATAGTGGCTTTAAGGTGATTAACTGATGAGTAAGGTGGTTGGGGAAAGGAAGGGCCGATGGTAGGCTTATTCAGAGAGTGATGTGGTTTAGAGTATGAAACAACGGTTGGCAGAATCAGAGGGTTATGTGGTCCATACGATGGTCGAAAACAATGAAGGCTGAAATCAAAGGCAAACTGCGTCAGGTGAGTGAGCGAAAGAGACACCGGAGACCATTGTTGTAGTATTGAAATTGTTACGTAAATATTTTGTAATTCATCATCCGTAATATTTTAGTTTCAACAATAATTGTTTTAGTATTATTTGTATAATACTAATATTAAAAATGAGTGTTTTGTTAACAATTCATATCAAATTCTTAGTTGTGGACTTGTGGTATAGTATGGACATAAATATCACAAAATGTTATAAATATGAAAAAGATGTTTGTTAGTGAATATTTTCCCTGAAATTCTTAGTTGTGGTTACATAATAATGTGATTTTCAACTTGAAAAGAGTTTGTGAATTTAGATAAGTTAATTGTTGTAGAACTTTTAGAAGATGAGTTCTCATAACTATAGAAATTGAAAACATTTGAGAAGAAATAGTGGATATGTGATTGTTGGTGAATTGGTGAAGTGAGTTGATGGTAGTACATATAAATGGAGGAAGTGTTACCATTATGATGGTTTCAAAACTTGTATTATTGATGTTGGATAGAAAAATTAGTATGAAAATATGAATATTATAAGGTAAATACGAATTTGCAAATGAGTTGTTGATGTCGGTTTGGGTGGGTCTCGGGTGGCGTTTATGAAGGGCTGATAAAGGGGTTGTGGGAAAAAAGGCGTGTGTAGTGCTCGACCACCGGTAAGGAGGAATATAAAAGGGTCAAGGGTAAGGGAGGTGGTCAGTTTGGTGGTTGGCGGTGGATGAGGGCTTCCATGTAGTGGGGGTGGGTGGTCATTTAAGTTTATAATAATATTTAAATACAATTAATTAATAATAAGTACAATTAAGTGTGTTGCAAGTGGTTCTAAAAAAAAAGTGTGTTGTATGTCATCTGATTTATTTGAATATAAGTATTTTCAAAATTTAGCTTATTGCTGAAAATATTTACAAAATTAATTACTAAGAAGACTGTGGTTGCACATTATTATGAATAAATATCAATTTTGCATGACTCTATTATCTAACAGGGAAAATTGTTTAGTTAAGTTATTTAGGTGTTGTCTTAAACTCTAATGGAGAAATCTAAGCTAAACATTATTTGTAAAATTTAAAAAAAAAAAAAAAAAAAAAAAAAAAGAAAAAAACGGGTTTTTCACCATATGTCCCTGAGTTTTTTGTTTATTCACCATATACCCCTAAACTTTTTAAAATTCATCATATACCCTTGAGTTTTCAAAAAAATACACCATATACCCTTGATGACTAATGATTGTTAATTTTGTCAATTATTACAGTTAATTATGAATCAAAACCACCCTAAATACATTCACTAACCCCTGAAACCACAACATTCCTTTTCCCACCCCCAAAACCACCCTAAATTTCCTTTTTCGTCCTCAAAATTAATCATGCAGATATGGTTATGGAGATATGTAGTGGTTTTAGGGGCTTGAAAAAAGGAGAAGAGTTATTTTGGGATGAGGGGAGGATCGGAGATCTAAGGTGGAATCGAGATACAATTAACCAAATTCCACTCATCTTTTTTTATGAAGGGTATATAGTGAATTTCTGTATCAACTTAGGGGTATAAGGTGAATTTAAAAAATTTCATGGGTATATGGTGAATAAACAAAAAACTCAAGGGTATGAGGTGAAAAAACCGGAAAAAAAAACATGATTAATGTCTAAATTTGTGTGTCGATATATTGCTCGATTAAGATGTTGGTGAATATTTTGGCCCTTAATAATCCAATTTGAGGTGAAATTTGTAAAGTAAAGTTATATCTTAAACGACTCATTTTGTGTGACAAAATATATCTTGGTACAAACATATTTGTTTACTATCAAGCAAATCGATGTGTTTTTAAAATAATTTTTTCCCAATTTATTCGTGACCTCAAATTTAACTAAATATAACCTTAATATTTTTCTATATCTGATTTGATTTGGCCTTAATTTTTAATCATATTTGAAATAAATAAAAATAAAATGAACTAAACATGGCCTTATCATGAAATATTTCCTACATTTCGTAGTAATGATCGCACCACTTTCCTTTTACACCTGTTTAATAATAATTGCAACACTTTCTGTTTTAGTAAAGATAAAGACTCAGATCACTATTATTTTATTTTTTCACACTCTCACTATCCCCACATAAATAAATATTTTATAATTTTTGTTCCTTAGCTTATTATCTTCACTGATACAACAAATTTTTAAAAGCATCTAGTTCACATTAGTTTATTATGGACCACTAATATTAAAGACACTATAACCATTTTATAAATAGAAAGTTGGTCACTATGTTATGATATATACATATACATATAAATATACAAACATATATGTGTGTATGTGTCTGTATGTCATTATGAATAATAAAGGTCACCATATTAAAATAGGAAAACTATGTACTGTCTAACATTGTTGAAACTTAAAGGTTTTGATGATGATGAACTTAAACTACAACAAACTCAATTAATAAAGGTTTATAAGTGTTTGATTAGTACAGGTGAAGTTGAACTTGGAGGTGCAAGAGTAACTTAGGCTAAGAAGACATGAAGAGACCTTTGAGAAAAGTCAAACAATATAGAAGAAGAGTTCTCTAACAAGAACTGAGTTCCTTAACAGGAATGGTTTCTAACAGGAACTTGGAGGATGCGAGCTAAATTTAGTAAGTTCTGGAAGGAACGTAGTCTGCGAAGTTCCAGTTGAAGACTGAAGAACGAATGACAGCAGGAACTTGGTCCTGGTCTGCGTGAAGCCCAAGTAATTCAGTATTACAGAAACGCGGCATAGCAATATCAATTTTGTTAAGATTTTATCTTCTAGATTTATTGTTAATTATGTTAAGTAGATATGCACGAAACTTATTAGAAGCATGACAAGATAATTGGCAAATTTAATTAAACGGAGAAAGATAAAAGAAAGATTTTAAGAAAAAGATTTTCGAGATAATTTTTTTCTTAAAATATGGTTTTAACAAAAGATTTTATTCGTCTTGCTATAACTTATCTTATCTTATTTTCCGAAAAGATTTCCTCTTAAAAGATTTACATAAAACTTCATTTTGTGATTTATGCTAAATGAACTTATTTATCTTTTGAAAAACCCTACTTTCTATATGAGTTAATCTTGTATAAATAGTAGAGATCACATTTTCATAAGTTTTTGTGAGTTTTGCGTGAAGAAATCTCTGAGCTTAATTTGTGTAAGTTTGCCAAGCTTTAATCTTGTCATATTAGTTTCGGGTTTTGTGCATTGCTTGCCTAACATATTCTAGGTGTTATATTTTCTGTAATTGGTTGGGTTACTGTGTGTGTGTGTGTGAAATTTATATTGCGTAAGGGTAAGATAGCTTTGAGTGAAAAAGCTGTGAAAGAGTACTGTGAGAGTACAAGAGAATTCAAGTTGGGAACTTGAGTGGGTAGGATAGAGTCCTATTGTGTAGTAGGTTCAATCTGGAACTTGTGAGTAAAGGTCTGTCATATAATAGGTTTGTAACTTGGTGTTTGCCCTATTATAGTGGATTGGTTTTTATCTGGAAATCCCTTAGAAGGGTCGATGTTTTACTTCCAGTTGGGCCCTGGAAGGTTTCCTTGTAAAATCCTGTGTGTGTCGCTAAGTTCCTATTTAATTATTTTTTATATTTTGCAAAAGTAGCCACGCACTAGGAACTCACCTACAATTCACCCCCCTCTTGTAGTGTTCGTTTCAACTAACAAACATAACGTGGGCTTATACGTGCATATTTTAGGTTAACAATAATAATAAAGTCACGTAAGTTTTAATAATGGTTACCATGTTAAAATTAGAGTCACTATGTTCAACAATATGTCCGTAGAGCATGTATGGACTTTGATCCACAATAATTTTATTGTGAATTATGTCCACACGGGTTTTTTCTCACTTATACTTCTTTTTTTAATTTTTATTATTATTTTTCTCTTTC